AGGTGTACCATATTTATCACTCATAGCAAATCCAAAGAAAATAAGAATATCAATAAAAAAAATTAATTTCAATCCATAGATTACTGCAGTCTATTAAAGATCAAAATAAAAAAATGTACAAAATCAATCAGAACAAACTGACTTTTTGTTTTTGAATTATTTGAATTATATATTTTCGAAGTTTTAATACAAATAAACCACTTGAATGACCATCTTCAGGAAGTTTTTCAAAACCTACGTTATTCTTATCTTCATCATCATCATCATCTTCTTCTTCTTCTTCTATTGATTGTAATTTTGTTGTTAATATCGATCCATTTGTAGTATTTATTATGTACGGTTGTTGATCTAACTCAAATACAGGATTCTCATGGGCATTTCGATCCTAAATGAAAGAAATTGTTTTATGTACTTTATTAAAACATAACTAACCTTTGTCATTTGAAAATTTGTATTCGATTGATTTTAGTGTAAACAAACTACAAAAAGAAATCTAATCTTTGATACATTTAGATTATTAATGCTTCTATTTCTTTCTCTATATATGATAAGATAGTGTAATACTTAAATTTGATTTATTTCAATTATTATTTGACATTAAATACACTATCATGTCTAATAGCTGTAAATAAAGAAAAGTGTATTGATAAGAATTTATTTCAACAAACATAGTTTTTATTAATAACAGAGAAAAGAATCCAAGAAATTGTTCATAAATCGACTTACTTTTTCTTCAATGACTAATCTTGTTTTGTTTTTGAAATTTATATGTATTCTTTTGAAAAAAAAATTACAATCATATATTTAATACACTTCATCAACATATTTTAATATTTATTTATCGTAAATTTATTTAATACAAATCTAAATGATTCAGAAAAATAAATAATGACTTGTTACAGTCTCTGATCGTTTAGCTTTATAAAAAAACAATCTACTGATTTTAAATCAGATTCTTGATTTATACCATAAAATACAAGATCGTTTTAAAATTCGATTAATTTTCTTATCTTACTAAATTTCACTTTTGAGGGTGTAAATGTTATAATTATCTGTTACTTACATTCAAATCCGCCCTCATCAAGATTATTTTATAATAGATTTTGGTCAAATCAATTAGAAATATATCAAGTTCAGTTAGTTTTATTGAATAAAGCAAAAGTATTTATTATTGAAATCAGTAGAGTAAAGACAAATCACAAAAGCTGCAGCATCAATACACAATGCAACATTTGCAAACAACAAATAATTAGTAAAATATAACATATAAGAATGCTCAATAGATTCAGAAGCTTAGCAACAATTCTGATCATATATTTCTCAGTAGCTATATTTGAGAAAACACAAAACAAGGAAAAGTGCAAGATTGAAACTTCCAGTACTATCTGAATACTTTTTAGTGATGAAACTTAGGCGTAGTGCTCATATAAATTTGAAGATAAAATAGATTTTGAGGTTATATAACTAGTAGCGATAATTAAATATTTTTAGTTAACTTTTTTAGTAGAAAAATTAACTAAAAAGATTTAATTGTTTTTTCAATCTCAGAGCTTATATCACCCTCAAAATTATATATGAACACTATAGCACTTACTCTCTTGAGGTCAAAACTTTTGAATAATGTAATTATTCTCGTATGTAGATAAATGTCAGTTACATTCTGTTGTTGAAATAATTCTAATTATTGTTCGATAAATGTATCATTGTTGTTGAGTAATTCGACAGTAAATTAAAATTTTTTTAATTAATTTAACAAGATAAGGTACGATAAAGTAAACGACAATTGATAAACTGCCATATGCACTCAAAAATGTTGTTAATATTTCTAATACATCAGATTTTTGATAATATGTATAAATACAATAACTTGGAGAGCAACTATTATAATATCTTTCGTAGGATATATTAGGGGACGACCATGATTCGATAAACATTTCATGTGCTATCTTTTCAACAGTGTCTTTCGCAGAGAATCGTGTTCTTGTCGCATTCAATCCGACAGGTTGATTCAGTGGTAACGATAGTATGTAAAAAACTCTTCGAAGGTCGTTAATGCATGCGAAAGAATAGAGACAAGCTAAAGATGAGAAAAGTAGTGTTTCAAGTTGATGACAACCAATGACTAAACCATTAATATCAATCCGATTACTACCAAACATTACTTGTTGTGGTTTTCGACATGTTCGTAAAGTAACACATGAACAATTTGTATTATCTTGTATATTGTGAAGCGTAACAGGTACACTGAGGAAATTAGTATCACCTTTATCATCTGTTCCAACTGCAACTAAACTCCAAGCTTCTGAATTTATATATAGTAAAGCATTTCCTTGAATAGTTGAACGAATTAAGTCTAACATATGCGCAAATGTAGTTTTTGTTTTATTTTTGAATTGACTTAGTATTTGATTCATTTCAGTGTTAAATATACTGCGAGACATTAGTTGATTAGTAAACAAATTTGAGACAAGAAATACGTCAATACTATTGTTAACATTGTGTTTTGCCAAAGAACAAAGTTGCTTCAAGGATTCTATGAAAGATTTTCCCCAAAGTGAGTACTCTTCACCGTAGATCGGTATTCCACTTATATGTGTTACTAAATCTGCAAATAAAATTATTCGAATACTCTTAAAAAATGTTTTTTATTTAGCTTTTTGAAGTTAGCTAATCAAATTTGTTTTTTCATAACTGAAAAGTTTTATAAAAATTTGAAGTTTTTTCCTACTTGAATTTGTTTAAAATTTCTTTTCTTTACGCATAATCAATATCAACAATTCAAGTATAATTCAAATTAGATTCGTTAAAACTCCATCGAAAAAAGAAACCATATTTCAATCCGAAAGTCTTGAATATTTATTTTGTTAATTGATTGAATTTTAGAAAGATGAATAAGAAAACTAACATTTTTGTACTCACCTGTTTCCAATATATCAAACAGGCGTCTCTCATCACATACTTCATGAAATGAATTGACTTGTAATTTAGTGATAAATTTACCATAAGGAATTGATGTATATGTGCATGGACAACTGATATCATCTGAATAAAGATTTAATAATTCTGCATAATCATCATTCGAATGTAAGTCTCGTCTTTTACTAATACGACGTTCGATCAGAATTGTATAAAAGAGTACAATACTGAGTAGAATTATGTAAAGAAATAGATAAACTCTTGTATAGATTTGTTGTTGACGAATATGAATGTTATTAGTTGATTCTGTTTCGTAGATGTTGAAGTTTTTAATTTTATCATAGATAATACTTGGAGATTTTCTGAAACGAAAACCAATTGAAGATAATCCTAGAATGAATTATAAAAGAAATCAAATCAATATGTTTTTTATTTTAAGCAGTATTTCAGATAAGCCAACTCTATGAGTCATAACATCTCGGACTGAATAGTCTGAGAAGGAGGAGTATGAAAATTACATCAGTTCGTTATTCATAATCATCTTCAAACTTGGCTTAACATTCTCAATTTGATTCTTTCGACTAACCTCTTTTTTAGTAAAATGCTTCTCTCAGAAAAATACTTGTGGATGAACGTACTTAACTGAGTTTATTCTGATTATTTACTTTACTTCTATGATTCTAGCACTGTCAATAACTCATACCCTACTATCACATCATTACATCTCAATTATAAGAGACAAAATAATGATCTAATTAATACAGAAAGATTCATGATAAGACATTTCATTATCCTTTAAAAATTTGAAAAGAAACTATAATACTTCTCAATAAGTTTCTTATCGAATTTTGAAGTTGATTAGTTTTAAGGAGAAATGCATTCTTTTAGTGTTCATCGCTATGTATTTATATCGTTATTATAATTCTAATTGATTTATTTTTTTGAAAATAAACTCTATCTATATCTTACCTCGTTGAGTATTTCGATTTCTTCTCCAATCATAACAAATAAAAATGATTTTACCAATTAGTAGAACCAGTAGTCGAAGACCTTTGTTCAGACCACTGCAAATCGAAATAAGAAGAACTAGTACTACGATATAATTGCGACGTTGAACAACGGTATATGAGCAAGAACTAGGTTTACATGTGTTATAAAATCTATCGAAGGATGCATTATTGATTGTTTTTTCGAGTAGCATTTCATCAAGTAACTCCTGCGTATTGATATCACCAAATCGAGTCGATATAGATTCATTAAGAGGTTTGATATTTGGTGAAGGTTGAGTATGAATAACCATGGAATAAGTTGCTTGAATATGTTTCATATATGCGATATTATACCACCATGCCGTTTTTGACTCGAAAAAACCACTTAAAGGTGAACAACCAATATATATTACTTTGAACAATAAATATTTATTAATATTGCCAAGATATGTTGTATTTCCATAAAATGCAGGGATTGCATAGCAGGAATCAGGATCTGATCCACAAGTGCAGCTGCCCACAATATGTGGAGAATCGTCTGATAAGAACCACAATAAAGGACGAACACGCAATCTAGCAACCGCTTGGCCGTCATTGTTTTTTTCTATATCAATATTTCTATTCAATCCATTGTAAAGAGGACTATTAAGAAAAATAAGTTTTGTCCAGTTAAATGTTTGTACAAAATCATAGCGTGTTGTACGAATAAATGAAGTCATCATAGCTTGAGTTTGTTGAGTGAAATGTGATCTTGAAGGAACACGATCATTAATCAATTCAGTATTCATAAATACATCCTGTGTATCTGCAATGTTTGTTTCAGCTAATAAACAGAAAGCAGCTAAAAGTTGAAAATAAGAAGCACCCATTTTACGAAAATCTTCAACATGTGGGAAGTCACTATTGAGCGGCAGATGAATCGGATCAAACAATATTAAATAATGTAACCATTCTAATGAAACCAAATCACTTGAACAGACTTGATGTAATACAAATGTTACATTAAGAAAAACTTTATTGGGAATAGCTATTTGTGAACAAGGACAATATAATGTGATTGGATGATCCTTATACAATTGTTCATAAGTATCAAGAGATGGATATCGAATTGTTGTCACTTGATTTTGCTCTACAACAAAGGTGTATACTCCAGTACCAATTGATAAAATAACAAGGAAAAAAATGAAAAATTTTGTTAGGAGTTGTTCTCGATAAATGTTAGTAGGTGTACGATGTGTTTGTTTTTCAAAAAGATTCAAAGATAGTATTCCTTGCCATAATTTATTTAATAAAAGCCGAATGCGAAGTTGTATACGTTGATCTGAAAAGAAAATGAATGATAGATTCTTTTATCAAATACAATAATTCTTATGTCTAAATATTCAAAACAAACCATTAAACTGATAGGAGATATGTGATTTGAGTCATCGAACATGCAGTAAATCGCAAACCATTCGACTATGTACCAGGATAGTTTTGAATGTAAACTGAATATTAGATTTACATCCATCTCCTAACTCTCTTTTAAAAATAGAATGGACTGCCCGGATTCAATTCAATCCCGATCGGGAACGTAAAGCCGACAGTAAAAAAAAGTTCCTGTCAATTGTAAATTAATACATCGATCGATTAATCGGTTATCGAAACTGCAGATCGGCTTTATCTCTGACTTATACTATCAGCTACATTCGAATTTCTAAAATTCTATTCTAACTTACTACGATTCTGTTCCATAGACGTTATAGTTGACACATTTTCCATTGGTAAAATTCGATTTTTTCGACGTAAAATCTTTGTGGCAACAAAAGATGCAATGTGTCGTACGATGAATGGCAGTATACCAATAGAGCCAGTAACAGCCGTGAAAATAAAATAAATGTCAAAACGTCTTCTATATGAATATGAACAAAAAGGACAATTACATTCTGAAAAATATTTATCAAATCGAATTTCGGTTGTTGTTTCATCTATCATTAATTTATCGAAGATTGATTGTACTGTCGAATACATAGAAAAATTTTTATCCGATTTATTCGATAATGGTTTGATATTCATCGATAATTGTCCATGTAAAATTGAAATACATGATTGATTATAGTAACATTCAAGTGTTGAGTTAAGTGTACCATCAACAATTAAACAATCTACTATCATTCCTGGTACATTAATTAAATGACCATAACTATCATTAAATGTAGCAGATCGTGGACAACCTTCAATATTTAAACAAGTACAATTACCGAATGTTCGAGCTGTCATTTTTGGATATCCTCTTGGATTTAAATGTGCTGGTGGATAGCGTAAATAGAAATTTGTTTGTAAAGCTGATATAACTTGATTTCCACGTGCTATACGTTGAAAAGTAAGTAAATTACGAGTTGATGTTGCTTTCGATAGATCTATTTGATTTTGAAGAGCATTTTCAGCTTGAACTCGAATAACTTGTTCAGCAACTGCCGTAGGAGTGATAAAACGTGTGATTCCAAAATTTGCAAGAACATCATTCCAACTTTTGTTACTTGATATACATAAACCAGCAATTGTTTGCCAAAAAAAACTAAGAGTCATACGAACATCATCAATGGATTCGCTTGAAATATTTTTATTTGTAAATAATTTTTCAATCCATGTCTGTTGAATAAATTCACTCGAACAGACTTGATGAAAATTAACTTTAGTAGTGACGAATTTATCATAGTTTGTTGAAGATTTTGAACATGGGCAATGAAGAGTACTCGGATACTTGCGAATTAATTGCAAAAATTTCTCGTGTGTAGGTTTATATTCAATTTTGTCAACAGGTCGAACGATAAGTGCAACAGTAATAGTAATGATAGATACACATACAATTAATGCAATCAAATAAATACGAGTAGAAAGAAGTTCTTTTTCAAGAGTATGTTCATTACTTGAATGTTTTTTGTATAGATTCAATCCGAGAAATTTTTTCCATATACGATTCACTAAATTGCGTATCATTTTAAGACTCTCACCTGCGACTAAAAAAAAATAATAGAATGACTTTTCTACGTATAACTACTAGATTTATATAGAAAAAAAAATGATGCATGAAGAACGTGTTTTATTTTATAGTCAATAATTTGTAATAAACTTTGTTGTTCATCTATCATTGCGAAGAAAAATGATTGATGTGAAAGGAATTTTATTTTAATAAATATAAGAAAATAATAAAACTGCTTTATCTTTATTTGCAATAAATGATTGATAAGTTCTGAATTACTTTACACATATTTTGAAAAATATTTAATAAAATATCTTTCACAAAAAATAGTAGATAAGTTATATTTAATGAATTTATTATATACTAAATTCGATACGTGAAAACAATTTATTACTAAGTAAAGATGGTTAAGACATAAGAAGAATTGTCACTTGGTGCTGTGATGTGTATATTTCTTTTTATTAGTATTAATATGGCGTTATAATATACGTAATTTTTTTTTCTTTATGATGTCATCTATGTTGATTTTCACTGTTCTCCAGAGATTTCTTCTTCTCTTATTATTGAGGGTGTACTTGAGAACATTATTATTAAGTGATAACTATATCCTCATCCTGAACTTATTTCTTATTTCCATTAACAATAATTTAATCACAATTTGTATTTAATCTCTATTTCAACAACATAATCATTTCTTATGTCAGTAATAAAAATATTACTAGAATAACTACGCTAATTTATTCCATTCTCTTTAGCAACAGCTCTTTCATTTTGTTTCCATTTAAAATCAGTATATATTAACATAGAAATTTTTTTCATTCGAATCTGTTATCTTCATCTTTTCGATAAGATTATATCTATTATTCTTGATATTGATAATATGATGATTATTTTCAGTGACACTAGTCAAATTCATCATATTATCATATCTTTCGATTTAATTAGAATTAATAAATGAAAGCGTCCTTAATTATAAAAGATGTAAAGACATTTCTATTTGCGAGATGTTTTCATCTAATAAAGATGAATGCAATATGAGTGGGTTTTCTTTAGATAATATCGATGAATGTCAAAACTGAATCGAAAGCATTATTTGTTATATGAAATAAAAAATTATCAAATCTATAACTATAAAACATCCATCATTTTTCTTTTTGTATTTCAAGAACATTTATTTTCTAAATAAAAGTATTTTCTTATAAAAATCATCAATCTTTCTTCTTAATACGTCATCGACGATCTTGAAATATCAGGTTTTTATGACGACTATAAAAATGATCACGTGAATTAAACTGCGCATTTGATAAAACTCTTTCCTATATTATTTAAGACCAAACTCAACTGAGAATGATGGATGAACAACGAGAAAATATAAAAACACGATCAGAGTGTGAAAAAAGAATTTTTTTCTCAATGTGAGGACGTGGATATAATATAAGTATAACATTTATCACCATCATATATATACAGACTAAAGAATATGTTATAGGAAAAGATTATTTAAGTTGAGGATTAGACATGTGTCAAAAGTGCTATTCTCTAACACATCCAGCGGTAACCCATACTTCATTTAATTTGGCTAACTTATATACCAATACCAAAGAATATGATATTGCTGTTGAATTTTATAAGAGAACAATTCAAATTCAAGAAAAAAATTACCTTGGTCTAATATTTGCATGACTGATAGTCATAATAGAATTGAATCTGCTTATGGTAAACTAAATAACATCTGACGAAAAGTAGAAATATATATAAGAAAAATAAATAATAATATAATGTATTTTGAAAAAAAAATGCATTTATAAATAAAAGATTGTTTCGTGTGCTCGTGAATTAATAAAATAAATATTAAAAGTTTTACTATAGAGATAAAATAAAATTGACGTGGAGAACCAAACATATTTAGACGCGCAGGTCCTGGTGGAAATTTCGATGATATTGAACCTTTAGGTGGTCCTGAACTATGATAATCAGATGAGGTTGAATGCGAACTTGTTTCACGAGTATTATATTCTTGAGATGATGAATTTTTTCCACGTGATGATCCTAATAGAGGATAATCCGATTCGACTTCTTTCATTTGAATAATAAAAAGACCGTTTCCAGAATCAAGACATGAAACAACTTTAAATTTTCGTGCAGCAACTAATAAGATATCATCTTCAGTCGGAAAGAATGAATGTTGTTGAATATGTTTACCAGATTCACAATCAATATTGAAGAGAGTTCTATCACCTGCTTTTCCAAGAAATTGTTCATGATGAAAATCTCCACCAAGTAAATATTTGTCCTTGTGGATATTGTGCACTTAAATCCATTTCTAGTCCTCGATAAATAGTTTGATTAACTGATGGTAATTTTTTAAGTGAAGAAATAAAAAGTTTCAAATAAAGTTGCCATGGTTTTAATTTTTCTTTATCTTCAGCTCGTAAAGTTTTATTTAATATAATATAAAAAGAATTTTCTCATAGTTCCCATTCTAATGAATACAACATATTTGAAGCAGATTCATCCGTTGTTAAACTATCTTTTGGTTTAGATACCATTTCTTTGACATTCGAAACAAGTGAAAGTAATGACTAAACTGCTTCTTCAAGTGAAACAACCGATATACTGTCAAAATTTTCAATTGGTTTTCTCATTTCTTGTGATGGTGCCAGCTCATCTAGTATTCGACGAGCATGTTGCGGTTCAAAATCTCTTGAAAATCTTACAGTCATTTTAAAATATAAATAAATGAACAAAATTCTATAAATAGAAACTAAATAAAAATATGTACTAATATCGAGCATTTATTTTAAAGATTCAAATGAATTTTGATACACACTATGAAATTAAAGACACATAAATTTTATTTCTAGTATATAGAAAAAAATATTCTATTTATTACATATCTATTTTATTTATGTTTGGAAAGAGTAATGAAAACAAACAAAGAACCTATATATTTTGTGTTTACACCCTTCCTTCTTCCGACGAAGAAAAACAAAATAATACGAATCGTTACACTTATTTTTGGATATCTTTATATATCCCATGACTGATCGTATAAGCATTACTGAATTCAGGTACTTGCGACACATTATTAAGTAATGTATTGAATAAAATAAAGTTAAATTATATTTTCTTCGATATATACGTTTTTTCTTTTTTCTGTATCTTTTAATAGACATCAAAGAAACAGCTATTCATATGCTTTGAGTTCACGCACTCCTGATCTCCTTTGTATTATCCGCTCTCTCCCTCTGCGTTCATAATATTATGGTCTCTCTCTCTCGGACTATTTTAGATAGTCGCTTATGCAACGGCGACATCGATCGTGTCGAACCTTTCCACGGACTCTCTCTATTGGTAGCTTTAAAGAGGTAAACTTCTTATCGAATTGTCTTTCGCATCTTCATTATTTCTACTCGTGATGTCTGTTATGATTAATAACCTACGAATAAATTTTTTCCTGATTTCTCATTCTTCAGATTTTCTTTTTCCAGTTTCTTTTCCGAATTTCTTGGCAACACCATTTTCTGTATTAAGTCAAAAGCATGTTTTTGATTGTCATTTTTTGCTCATTTCCTGCGGCTAAGAAAAGAAAAAAAAATCTTAAATGAGTCATCTTTTTTTTTCATCATATGATATAAAGAAACAAGCTTCAGTAGTAATTTCATAATCTAGTAACATGTCCTCTGAATTACATATAAATGTTGACGATCAAGCATTAGCAATAACTTCTAACAAACCAAATCAATATGAAATACGTCCAATGAAGGAAACTGATCTTCCGACAGTCTTGGAAATTGAGAAAATAGTTTGGCATGATGAATCGTGGGATTTGGGATTTTTTTACGATTTTTTTAATGATCCATTGTCAAGTTGTTGGATACTTGAAAATACCAACAGTGCACAACCAATAGTTGGATATGGTTTACAATCTCTATTACATAATAAATCAAGTATAACAAACTTAACTCTTCATCCTAGTCAGTGGGGACGTGGCTTAGGTGGTCTACTTTTACGTCATATGATAAAGCATGCTCGTCTATCTTGTGCTGTGAGAATGAGTCTTGAGGTTAGCACATCGAATAAACGTGCATATAACTTATATTTTAATCATGGATTCCGAATATCTAAACTACTTCCGAAATACTATGGTTCTTCCGATGGTTACTGTATGATACTTCAATTAGAAAATGAAATCTAATGTTAACTAATATTTATGATTTATTTTTTTGTTTAAATAATCGATCATTTCTTTTTCCATGTTAAAAATGGTAACTGGGTGTGGGTGTGGGTAAGAATATGAGTGTAAAGGTGTGAATGTGAGAGTGGGTGCAATGAATAAGATACACCCACGCACACATCCAAACCCATCCACACCCACACCCGTCCTTCGTAAAGGGTGGTACGAAAATCCATTCACTTGGCCTCTTATGCTGTATGACGATCATGTTACCAGAATTAAATAGAATTGATTTCGAACCGCAGCTAATTTCATAATATTCGACATTTCGGCATAGGATGACTGCTCCTAAATCCTTACGCTCACCCACTTTCACATCCTCCAAATGGATCCTTGATACTCTTCAGGATGTATCCAAATCCATAAGATCCGCTTTTTCCCCCTGAGTAAAAAATTCTATCTTGGAAGAAAACTTCATTTTCTTACTCTTTCATTATCTACGATCTATAAAACCAAGCACGAGTATCAATAAAACTACTATCTTATTCAGAAAATGATACATCCTGTAGAGATATTTTTCACAAAAATGAGTTGTCTATAGTGAACATCACTCATCATCAATGGTAAATACATGAATTTTATTTTATTTAACAGAAAAATGAACAAAAAAGACATTAATCAATGTCTTTTATGTTTTAATAACATAGATTTATTAAAGATGAACATTTTTGTTAAAAAAAAACACGCTTTCCTATAGTATATAAAAGAACAAAAAGATAAATATTTTAAAAATGGTTGGATGAATTAGGAATGAAGTATACAAAAAGAAATTGAATACAATATAAAATCATATATCGACAGGCACTAGAAAAAAAAGATGAGAAAAAAGCTGCTGATGGTTTGATGATGAATATAATTCATATGCGCATATGCCAATGACGTACTTATGTCATGCGCAATTGATGAAGTGCTTCTATATGCGTAGATAAATAATATATAAATGATCGATGAAAGAAAATTTCCTTTGAAGAGGTATTATAATAACACGCTCATTAAATTAATCATCACAATCATGTTTTGCTTTTTATTTCTTTAAGATTGGCTACCATTTGCGAGTTACTCTATATAAATATTGACGAAAATCGGCCTGACCAAAAACTCTTTTATTGGTGTTGCAAAGTCTTTAAGAAATAGATAATGTGAGACTGTGGACGTTGGTCTGAATATCTGATATACATGAAAACCATATCAATATCCACATCCACACTCATTAGTTAGAATGCAGAATTTTTGTATTTATTTGACGAACAAAATCAAGTAAAGATTAATTATTGACTTTTAAATTCATTATGAACAATTATGATTGGTAAATCATATAATAAAAGAAGTGTCTTACTTTTAAAATACTCTCGTAATATTTTCATCATAAATTAATCAGTTGTAATGAAAAAGATCTTTAATCTCTTTTCTCTAGTAACATAAAATAAAATGAATGAGAAATACATAAAAACATTTCTTATTTAAATAATATCAATCAATTTCAAAGATTTTATAATAAAAAGAGAAATATTAATTCAATCGAAATCAAGAGTTTTCTAGAAGCATATTAAAAGATTGATTCAAAACTTCTCTCAAAAAAATGAGATACACAAATACAAATGAAATAGTAACTTGGAGCTTGATGAAAACGAATATATAAAAACATGAATTCGCTTAAAAATCATAGAAGTACAGAGATGATGAATATCAATTTCAATAATTCGCAGAATTATGGCCAGTTAACGTTTTCATATCAATACATGTATCTTTGTTCTAGTAAGTGATAAAATATTGTTTCAATTTGAAAACATTTTGTTCTTGTTGAACGGCATAAAAGTTCAAAATATGATTTATAATTATATCTAAATCATTCTTGTACTTTTTTTCTATATGTTAAACACCTACGTGCATATTGTTCATTTATTCTAAGCTTTCATGATTGATGAATCTAGGGGAAAATCATGATTTTACTTTTCTTAACGTTATTAAAAATATTTTGATTTATTAAGTCAATGATAGATTCTAAATAATAAAAAGCATGTTTTTTTTGTCTTCTCTTAAACTTTGTAATAAAGTCTTCATTTATCACACTCATATAAATGATAAATGAATAAAATTATTTTTATAGGTATGAAGTGCGCTAATGAATTCTCTCTTCGTTTCATTTATATTATGAGTCGATTGAGATAATTACTCACTTAGATTTGCAATATAACATCGAAATCATACAATACATCAATATCGTCAGTTCGTAACGCTTTATTGATAAATTTATAGATGAATGCATTTGAATTATAACTTTTAACCCTCGTCTTAAATATCCGAAAAAACAGTTGAAATATCTGCAGCTATTTCTACTGATTTTTCAGATTGTTGAGAAGGGGGTCAGATATAAACTCTGTTAGTATTAAAACGGTTAATAGGTTGATTAAATTTATAATCTGTTTCAAATTCGACAATATTTTGTGAAATTCACATATATTTTACGAAAGAAAATAGTGATTGTGAACTATAAGCCAAAGTTTTGCGTCTTTCCTTCTATTTGAAAGATGAAGCTGTAATGGTTATGCATATATAAGATTATTTTTCATAGAGTATAAACCGGCTGTGAAATGAATCAAACGAGACTAGTTACTTTTTCAGTCTTGGCATTTAGGAAATCTACTCTACCGTATACATTCATTCTGTCTATAGTACCATCGTCTCCAATATGAATATTTCTCTCCCTGCGAGTACTAATGAAGGATAAAATTCTCTGTGCACACTAGTTAAGTAAATAAGTTTATATTTTGTCTCTATTTACACACATTCAACTCAAAAAAATTATAATAGCTGCTTAAATATAACATATTTCTAACAATAAATATTCTATTCTTTTTAATCTTTCTCAATCTGTATTACGCAGCATTTTACGTCATTCCCTGACTTTCTCTTTGTTTTTACTTTTACAGATAATCATAATAAATTTAATTTAATAAAATCATTTACTTCTATATTTTATTCCACAGATTTTTCATATTAATAAAAAATGACAACTGACATCTGGCAATATTTTATTCAAAACTAACTTTGAGAAACGGAAATATGATTAATGGTTCTAGTGATGTAGGATTTGTTCTTCTTTAATTAAGAAGAAGCAGAGAAATCTATTTCATTTTCACATTCTTTTTAATCATCTCACATAAGAATAAATCAAAACTCTATATTAACATTGTTTTATTTTGATTTAGGTCGATTAATTAATAAGACATCAAATCTCATATATAAAAAACAATATTCAATGAGAGATAACTTATGTTTTCTTGATTTTAGATTGTAAAAGTATTCAAGTTTAAATAGAACAACAACTATAAATATGAATAACAGCATCGAGCCTAATGAAGTAAGGTATTAAATAGAAAGAAAAAAAATAATCTTGTTTTCTTTTGAATATTTTAGTCTGTTGAAGTTAACTCTAATACAACACGACTACGAAGATTGTATATATATAGTATGAATTATAATAAATTATGAAAAAAATTTCTTATTTTAGATATGAACATTTTCAAAAGCGAAAATTAATTTGGATAATGTTTTTCATTATTTTAATTGTTGTAATTATAGTTACTCCAACAATTACTGCTACAATGAACAAAACAAAGAGGGGAAAAACCACAACAACAACAACAACAACGATAGAGATAACATCATCAACAACAAGTAAATTGTTGACAACAACGACAAATGGTATGATTTTATTAAAATTAGTTCATCTCTTATTTCACAGAATTCATAAAAGATAAATTATTGTTAAATTTAATTTTTCTTATTCAATCTTAGATATTTTATTTGAATAATGCCATAAAATAGTTTAATCTTCGATGATCGATATTCAAATATCATCGTTGTATAGAATAAGATCGAAGGGCTCACTGAAAGGCGAATGAAAATGTGTTATGGAATTCACAGTTCATCCATCTACACCCACACCTACAGTCTTCTAATTCATATCTACTGACATCAAGACATTATGTTCGATAAAACGAAATATGTTTTATTTCGAAGAAATACTCCGTAGATCGAAAGGAAAGAAAAGAAAATTGAAATGTTTTTTATTGTTTTATAGAACAATTACTTCCTCCTGTTATTATTAACTAACGGAGGTATCCGATGTTAGTTCAGAATCTTATAGACTGAAAAATTCATAAATCAGGAAACGACAGGAAATGCAGAAGGATCCTGTTTAAAATTTTCCATCTTTCACCACAACATATCCCGTCACACATATCTGAAATACAACAACTCAGATTATAGAGCACTCCAGATCCACCCGTGTATTTACAGTTTCCGCTGCAAAATCTATCCTTTTTTTTACAAATTTCGCTCCAACTCTATCTCCACTTCATTTCGGTCCTAAAACGGCGTAGATTTCGAGTTAGAGTTTTATCTATCGCGAATACACACGCGTCCACGATAAAGCACCACAGTCTAACGAATATTATGTGGGGGTGATTATCTCACTTCTCAATTACCCTCACTTCTGTGTAACACAATCAGACCAGTGCGAAAACGTAGTAATAGATGGGTACTCCAAAGATCGAAAAGTACATTAAACGAAATTCGATTTAATTTCAACCATCTTCCGTCTTTCACCCCCTCTCGACTTTTCCTGTACATAAGGAAGTGTCATGAACAGTTTGGCGACTTTAGCTATCATATAACTACCTAAGTGAAATTCCACTTAGGCTCCCTGTCTCAACCCCTACCAGTGTCCCCAACACCATCTCGGCCTTCTCCTGGATCTAGGGAATTACCATGAAAAGTTTGGTGACGCTAGCCAATACTAGGATCCCATGGTAGAATTTCTCCCCTCCTCCCTGCCTGGCCGCGTCAACTTCATATCGGCCTTCCTCTGGGTCTAGAGCACTCTTGTTGAAAATTAGGTGATGATAGCTAATGCAGGGACCGAACGCATAGTGAACAAACAAACAAACTAATATTCTTCTTTATATATATATATATATATATATATATATAGATAATAATACGAGATGGAAACAGAATGCAGTTACTGTTGCTGGGGGAAATGGATTGGGAATTGAATCAAATCAATTATATAATCCCCGTGGTATTTATATTAATAATGATGATCAAAGTATTTATATTGCTGACACTTCGAACCATCGTATTGTTAGATGGGAATTTGGTGCAGATAATGGTGAAATCGTTGCAGGTGGAAATGGAAAGGGGTATGGCATACATCAATTGAATGATCCATCAGATGTAGTTCTTGATAAAGAGAAGAAATACATCATCATTTGTGATCAGACCAACGCACGAGTGACACGATGGTCCCGTCAAAATAGTCAGGATCCACAAATATTAATACATCGTATTTATTGTTGGGGTTTAGCAATCGATAATAATGGTGATCTTTATGTTTCTGACTTGTTAAAACATGAAGTCAGACGTTTTCAACAAGGAGATAAAGAAGGTACAGTTGTAGCAGGTGGACATGGATTAGGATCTAGCTTTGATCAACTTTGGCAACCCAGCCATATCTTCGTCGATGAATATTATTCAATTTACGTAGCAGATCATATGAATAATCGAGTAATGAAATGGATGAAAAATGCGACCAAAGGCATTCTTGTTGTTCCAGAACAAGTTTCTGGCAAGAATTCAAATCCACTTATTTTCCCCATAGGTTTGATTGTTGATCATATGAGTAATATTTATGTGTCGACGAATGGAATTCATCAAATAATACGTTGGTCGCCTGCTGCAACAGAAGGTATTCCTGTCGTTGGTGAAAAAGAATTTGGGGTGAAACCCACCCAGCTTTTATTCCCTCAAGATTTATCATTTGATGGACAGGGTAATCTTTATGTTGTCGATAGATCCAACGATCGAATACAAAGATTCGATATTGATCTCGACTGAAACAAGCTTGTGATGATAAAATGACTTTTGATAAATAATTCTTTTTTTGTCATTTTTAAAATATTTTTCCTTAAGAGCAAATAAATTTCACTGAAAATATGATGAATAATCTAATTTATCTTTTTACTTGTAGACACAATCTTTTTATATTCCTTTTTTTTGATTTCTATTCATTTTTGCCAATCTACATAATACTATATTCCAGTAAAAAACTTTCAATGCGATTTATACTTCTATGTAGTAACAATTAGTAAAGCTATCGAGTTGAGAGTGTGAGGGCCCGAGTGAGGATATAAAACCGTCTTAGATATACAATTGTATCGCAACTCATGCCTAGATGTTTCATTTATTTTATTTGAAATCAATATGCATTTTGAAATATAAAAAATGTTTTAATAAAAAAAGGGTGTGGTGTGGGTGTGGGCTTGGGTGATACTCTTCTCGTCTTCCACACACTCACCCACCCACACCCACACTCATCACTCACGAAAGAAGATACAAATAATGACACATCCGATGAAGAAGATACGCAAGCAGTAGAATCGGCCACACAATTCGAAAGTTTGAAAAAGATAATTCTCGATTCTGAACTTTAACTTTTACTTTACCACAATATTTATTCTCCATTACACATAAGTTTTTTCGAGTTCAATTTTATTTATATATATATATATTGATTTTAACGAGTTGCGATTGATAAATTTTTTCGACTATTCACTTTACTAAAACATAGATCAATATATTTTTTGACGATAATTTCTAGAGCTCAGAAATATTAAATAGATGAAAATTACAAGCAGATTCTACTTGAGTTGGCTAACGAGGGAAGGTCCCCAAGTGTGAATCGCCGTTTTGAATCGGAGGTATACCAATTGATAGAGCTTAATGAGACTATCAAAAGTCTAGAAGGGTTCGTGCCCATACTCGGCGCTTCTTGATTTTTGACCGTTTTACTGGATTTTTGACCTCTGACGATGCATATATGAAGTAACCAAAACTGAGAAATGTCGAGCTGAAATTTTGACCACAGATAGCTCTCATAGCCATTAGAATG